AAGCTGTTGTGACTTTGGGCCCAAGCTGGTGGAGAGCAAAATGCTTTACTGTTAGGTGCCAAGTCATATCAGAGCAGAGAATGCAAGTCTGAGCTCCACAAAACAACAGGGCGGGAGGGACTTCCCTGAAGAGCAGCCTGCCCTTTTTAAAAGACTGCAAAATAGGATTCTTTTGACCCACGAACTCCCCTTGTGCCTTTAGGATGTGGCTTGATTTATAAATATTTGATTGGCATGCACTGTGCTCAAGAACGTTTCCGTCTGTGTGGTGAGTGCTGCTGGAAAGCCTGCTCCCGCTGCAGCCTTGTACGTGCTGGGGGAGGCGAGGGCTTGTGGGCGGCAGGAGGAGGTGCAGGTTGGGGATGCTCGTGAATGTATTGTCATTCTCTAGCTACTGTTCCAGTTATTAATGCTGTTGAGGAATGAGTCATGGCCTCCCCTCACCAGAGAGGAAACTGCAGCAGAAAGAGCAGAATCAAACGTGGAGCTTCTCCTTGTCTTTGCCCAAACCAGCTTGTTCTGCCAGAGAAGTGAGACGGGGCAGGGCTTGGGTACATTATGTCCTAGTGCCAGGCCTCGGGAGCTCCAGCCAGAAAATCCCAGAGAAGCTGAGCTAGAGATCACCCTCAGTTCTGTGAGCAAGCGCAGCATTCATTTAATTCAACAGACATAGGATCAGAGGGTTAGATGAGGAAGGCCAAGTTAGCGGAGGGATGATGATGATGATGATGATGATGATAAACACCATTTTTCAAGCATTTAACACGTGCATAGCAGTGTGCTAAACACTTTCACAAACATTATCACATTTAAAGTTCCTACTTTCCTATGAGATGGGAACTACTGTCATTCTTATTTTTAAAACGAAGAAACAGGCATGTAGAGGAGAAGTAACTGTCCCAAGGTGACACACGACTAGTAAACAGTGGTGCTGAGACCTGCACCTATACCCATCTGACCCACACAGCAGGCTGTGGGAATCCACCTTGTGTATCTATCAGTTTTGGGGGAGAAAGCACTGTCATAATGTTGTGTCAGGAGTGGTAGGGAGATACAGAAAGGACCTTAGTGTGGAAGCAGGAGATGTGGCCGGTGCCACACGTTCCCGGTTAGGAGGTGGTCACGCACTGTTACCTCCAGTGTCCCCGGAGCTCTGATAATCAGTTACCTCACAGGCTGTGGTTTGGCAGAAATGGGAGACTAGAGCAATGCCGGGCACATATCAGTGCTCAGTGGATACTTATTGAATGCATTGTTGAATTTGAATTTATCTGCCATCCAGTACAATTCAGTCACTCAGTAAGTCAATGTTTACTGGGTATTATACCAGGTGGCAGGCAATGTACTAGACACAAATATTTGCAGTGTCGAGCAGTAAGAGACAAAGTCCTCATCCTCGGAGCCCAGTGGGAGAGAAAACCATTAAATAATCACACAAACAAATGTAGAAAGACAACTCCAAGGAGAGCTTCATGGTCCATGAGACACTCCTCAAATGCTTTGTGCTCAGGTTGGCACCAGTCCCCTTCCCTGCACCTGTGTCTGTTCCGGGACCCTCTCTGTCATGGTGACACCAGAGCTAAAGCTCCAGGAGTCATCACAAACCTTCTCACCAGCTGCACCCCTTTGGCCCCAGAAGCTGCAGCTCTCCCTGGCTGATTTTGCCTGGTATTCCCAGCATGGCAGTGGGACAGGTGCTCACAGCCTGTGCTGGTAATTGCCCACAGCTGTGATTTGAGGAATGCTAAAGGGACAAACCAAAACCGTCTTCTCTACAGGCAGAAATTCCCACCAGTGGAGACATTTTAGTCAGGTCTTTATCAGAATGACCTACAAACAAGCATCCATTGTAGATGTATACCACTATAAGAAAGGGTAGGTGCTTGGAAATTTGTTCTTTTAGAGGTGGGAAGAAGACAAGTCTTGAAAACCTCCCAATTTAGCCCAGGGCAGATCAACTGGTTGGGGACAAAGAGAAGCTGTGAAAGGATTTATTTTTTCCTTGTAGAGCTTGCATGTACACAGTACTATCTTGCATGATTTAGGTAGATTTATTTAAATATTGGATTGGCTTTTAGAAATATTCTTCCTGAAGGAAATCTTAGAGTGTGACGCTCTACCTGTCACCACAGTCTCTAGTCATGCTCAAGCTAATGATCAAGGAAAAGAAACCATCCCCTTGCCAGACTGTACTGATCACAGTTATCCAGGGACCACTGTCCAAGGCTGGATTTTTTCTTTTCTCTCTCTCTCTCTCTGAATAACCCTTGAAATTCAGAAGGGCTGTGGCAGTACCAGCACTGGGCGGAAGAGGGCGACAGAACCACACTCAGGGAGTGAGCCATGCCCAGAAGGATTCTGCTCACCTGCAGGCTCTTACTGAAGTTTTCAGCCTTGTGAGGGACACCGGGCGGTGTTATTACCATTCCACAGATAAGGAAACTGAGTCTCAGTGAGATTAAAAGATTTTTTAAAAAAATTTCCCACAAAATTAGACAGCTGGGAATACTGGAGATATTTCAATTTCTAGACAGAAGAGGATGATTGGAAGAATCATAGGGCTATGGGACTTGAAGTTCTTTTGCAGAGCACGTTACACAAAATGGAGAAAACGTTAACTGTCCACTTAGAAGATGGCAGAGCCCGAAAATGAACTCAAGCTTTCTGACCCTAAACGCAGGGCCCCTGACTCTGTAGCGGGTATGTGGATTATCCAGTTCTCCTGGCACTGGTGCAGAGGTAGATTCCTGCCCACCCACCCCACTTACTCTGATTTCTGTCCTCCTTGGCCCCTGTATTTGTTTTAAAGTAAGCAAATAACAGGCCAACATGACAACTCTGAACGTTAGCAGAGAGGCCCTGAACCAAAACATGAATCTAGACTCTTGTCTTTCATGGGAGGCAGTCTCATAGAAGAGAGAAGACTCTAAGGTCTTTAAATATTATCCAGTATATCCATATGCTGGGCTGATGATGAAAACAGCGGTATTAACCAGCATGTGCTGAGCTGTTGCTGTGGGCCAGGCACTGTGCCAAGACCTTTCACTATTTTATCTCATTTAATCTTTCCAAGAATGCTGTGAGACAAGCAATATTATTCTTATTTTACAAGTGACACAAGCGAGGCCAGAAAGGTTGAGTAATTTGCCCAAGCCCACTTGGCAAATAATCCGGCATTACTTGGACGCAGACATCCTCACATCCATACCTACGGCTGCACTGAGCTGCCTTCCAAGGATTCCTGACACCTTGGGTCAGGTGGCCAAATCCACAGCAGACTTCAGAAGTTGTCCCAATGTTACATACCCAGTGTGAAGTCTATAATGTTAATAGTGGAATGACAACAATGAAGTCATATGCCATTTGTACAGAAATCTCAGAATTATAGCCTCTTGATACCCCAGAATTCAAGGTTTCCTAGAAGAGCCAGCTTAACTCCATGGAACACATCACCATGGTGTCTTTCCTCTGGGATTCTGAGGACCAGAGAGCATCCCCATTGATTCAGAAAACTGGAAACACTTCTTAGTAACATTGAAAACCCAGAGAAATTAAAGCCTGTTCCCCTTGTGATGTGTGAGGCAGATCCCACGACTTGTGGCTCATGCCTGACACAATGGTCTACAATCTAAGTCCATTTATTTGCAGTAAACGTTGCTTATGTATATGTTTAACATACTGAATAGAGCTTTTTTGCCTCATTCTGATACCTATTTTTCACTGAGTATAAGGCATTCAGCAGGCCCATATGAAGGCAAGCCATCAAAACAAAGCCCCCAAAAATCTAATCCTGCAGCTACAAACTCTAGCCTCAGCCATCCTGTTCCTCATCTCAAGTGTCTATGTGGTGGGTGGGAAGGAAAGGACAATGCCACCTGGTCTGTAAATGCTGGTGTCCATCCCATTACCTGTGCGTCTGAAGGTGGGAAGGGAGCACCACTGAAGTGGTCCTTTGTGCTAAGAGTCTATGAATAATTAAGACCCCCTGATATATAAGCCATCAAGCCAAAGCCAGTGTTTTGCATCCTACTTTAAAGTCAGTGCTACAGACCTTACTTCCTGCCTGTTCTATTCTGTGTCCCCTGATTTCACCCATACTTTCCTTCTCTTGATTTGTGTCATATTTGACTCTTGAGATTGCCGAACCTCTAAGCAGAGACTGGATCTGACTTTTAGCTTCCCTAACCCCTAATGCCTCAGTGATACTCCGGGAATCTCTGATAACGTCACAGTAGGACCCAGACACCTAATATCAAACACACACACCAACACCAGAAGTAGAAGGCAGAGATTTTATACTTAGTCAGGAAGATTCTTGGCTCCGAGGCCGTACCCTCATTTATCAGCACCCTCTGAGAGCCGGCTGCCAGGAGGGCCTGGCAGAGACGCTCAGCATTTGGCTGGAGTCACTCCCACTCTCTGGTTTCTGTAAGGTCTGCAGAACGACTTTACCCCTCCTGGTTACCACAACCACATCTGCATGATGTGTGGAGGGAGAGGTACATAATTTATGATGTGTAAGACTACGATTATGAACTAGGATTTCACAAATCAAGCCCAGTGGAAACATAACCTGGAGACTCTGTTAACTTGAAATTGGGCCCACAGCTTTGTGCAGGATTTACTGCCCTGCCCGTCTGGCTCTTCCCATCATGGAGCACGTGGGCCTCTGACCAGCCCTGGGGGTCAGATCTTTCACTAGTTACAGAAACTCACAAAAACACCACAGCCATTGAAAACGAGCAACCAGCTGTGTTAGGTCAGCAGAGAGTCCTTTTAACAACGCAAAGCAGGACACCTTTAGGTAAGCAGCAGCCCCACACTCCCTATTTTCCAAACCCTGACCTTTACACACTTTTGTTACCTTAACCTCCAAATGTGTTGTGCCTGAGTAGAACCTTGGAGAAGAGGGACTGGTACTTAGATATCCTCCCCTCATCCTTCCTTGACTAAGGAAGACACAAGGAGGGCAAGGGTGTACAATAGAGATGGCTGCTTACTGTGCTGGTCGCTCCTGTCCCTTGTCCCATCCACCGTGCCATCCGGAAGGATCCTCAAGAAGTGGCCCCCGTTGCTGCAGTAGAGGAGTTTGGGCTTCTTGTAATTTCCCGGAGGCAGATTAAACTTCTCGGTCAGGGCTGTGAAGGTTGTGATTTCCCCTTCAGCCATGGCTCAGCTGCTAGTTGTGGCGCTTTTAGAACTGTAAGAAATTAGACAAACCTGTAGAAGGCTCTTCCAGCAAAGGCACAATGTACACTTTCAGGAAGGGAAGGACAGCTTCAGGGCACAGTGCTCCTGGTTAGCTCGTAACCACAGGCTGCCCAGGTGATGCCCACAGTAAACGGGCCTGTGAGGTGGCTGGTGGTTAGGAAGGATGGTCCCTGGCATGGGTGGGGTTTTCAGGCATTTCTCTCTTCCCAGTTGGTTACAGTTTTGGACAGAGCTGTATAGTTTTTAGAATTTCAAATTTAATCTTTTGGCCAAAGAGGAAAAAAATCATGTTTTGGTCCCTCCTTCTGGTCCACACGCATCCTCAAATTAAACACTGAAGCTGCCCTAAAATAACACCCTGGGTCTGGCTAAAACCCACAAAAGCCAAAACCCGAGGTTCTACCCTCCACCCTCACACTGTCTTCACTAGGTACTGCAAGACCTGTGTGCAGCAGAGAGCACAGGAGGCCTGGACATTTGGGGACCTTCAGGGACACAGTCAGGACAGCAAAGGGTTAGTATGTAATGGAAACATTCTGCATTTGCTGGGGCAACAGAACCAGAATGAGGGGATAAAGTATGGAAGGGCATTAAATGGGGCTTTTAAAGTGCAAATACTGTACCAGAGGAATTTTATACAAGTCATTAGGAAGGCTGTAATGGTTCTTTTTAAACATATATACAGAGGGTGCTTCCAAAAGTTCATGGAAAGATTCATATTATCTTTCAATTCTGTTTTTCCACAATCATTTTGAAGTACCTTTGTATGTATGTATGTATGTATGTGTATATATATGTATGTATATGCCTGGGTACTGCCTGTTCCACCGCTTTCCACATATGCTCCTATCATACAGAGAATGTGAGTCTATCCCTTGTACACAGGCCATGCACATGGGCCATGCATACGGGCCACCTTCAGCCTAATTGCTTTCTAATGTGAGATACACTTCTAATACAGAATCCTAATACATATTATTACATATTACATATTATAATCCTCTAATGTTGTATACACCCACTATAAACAAATTTATATTAGTGTAAAAATGCATCAGCTATACCTCTAAGGATTGAAAACCAAAGCCAGTGAACATTAGAATTTTAAAGCATGTATTTGCTCCACCATTTAGGAGAAGGAAGTGCTAGTGACTACAAAGACTATAAAATAAAGAGGCCAAAAAGAGACCGGGACGCTAATGTGGGAGCTTCACTTCTCCGTGTAAATAGGTGCTAATTGTGCATATCCATTACCAAGTGGTCTTATAATAACAATGATCATCATCATCATTAACAGGCTCTAGGCTACAAGTTAACTCATGTTAACCTCACTACAACCCTTTGAAGCAGACACTAACATTATCCCCATTTTTAATAAAATGAAACCAAAGCTTAGAGATGTTAAATGACCTGTCCAAGGCCAACAGCTAGTAAGTGGTAGAGCTGAGCCTCAAAAGGAACACAGAACTTCAACTTGCCCTCAACTGCCATGAAAAGTTAAATGACTTCACTGATACTGCAATATTTTGACCAGAAGTGGGGGTTTTTACCCATTGCTTAGTATGTCTACTGCCATAAACTTGTCATTCATTTAGTTATTCATTTGGAACCCAAATGATGGCTGTCTCCAACAACAGCCTCCACTTTTGCCCTCATGCCAATCGTGAAGCAGGGCTCCACACATCTCCTCATTCCCCAGGAGAAACACACTGTAGCACTGTGAACTTCATGAAAGACCAGCCAGTTCTCCTGCACTCCCTGCACTAACCACCCATCCATTCCAGCAACAGCTTTGAGGAGCTTCTCTTGTAGAAAGAAATTCCATCATAAATGAAGGACCAATTACAATCATCTGTCCTTATGACTTTGGAATTAGGGTTCACATTGAAAGCCTCCATTTGTTTCTCTACTCCTGGCATTTTAATGTCTCTGGCACATTTCTCCCAGTCTGCAGCAACAAAGGGCAATTGTCCCCAGTTTCAGCTACTGTTCGAGGTCCCTCTAAGGACCCCCAAAGAGAATTTTGCTTACACTATATAAACTGCATTTAAAGTAAGACCATCCCAAACATATCCTCCATATATAGTGAAACTCTGTCCAGTTCATTTCATATCATACAGTAACAGAAGATTAATTTTATTTAAGTCAATTTCACGGGGAGGACTGCAGAGTTTACCTTGCATTTGCCTCCCAAATCCTCACTATCTCTTCCAGACTCTTCTTTGTCACTCACAAGCCTCTAAGTCTCTCTGTGCCTACCCTGTCTCTCCCACTCTCTTTCACCCTGTCTGTCCCCTCAGCCCTCCCTCCAGCCAGTCTCTCAATTTCACGATTGCTCCAATTCCCCACTCCACTCCCTTCTGGATCCCCTTCTCGTGTAAAGCAATTTAGCTCTTGCAAATGTGGTATCTTCACCCATCACCTCTTCATTAGCCCACAGCCATCACCAGATGCCTCCTTTTAAAAATACAGTGAAGAGATAATAAAAATGTTTCTTTCATTGATTTTTTCCAAGCACCTTCTAAATTGTATATACTTAATTTAGTACAGAAGACAATAATTATGTACTGGTTGCCATTTAGCTATACAGGTAGTCATTCGTGTTGTCAATCTTAGGTGGGCAGAATTTTGTTTCTTGTCTCCAGGTTTCCTCCTGAGGAGGTTCCTGTTCGCCCCTGATTGTGGGGCAATTGCATGTTAAGGATGGCCTGCTCTCTAAATGCAGCCCCAGGGAGGAGTCTCCATTAAGCTGTGTTCTAAGTGCCGGGCATGGATTTGGCTCGCTCTGTTGGCATTCTTGCTTCCACCTTATTAGGATGTTGGGGAACAGATGAGCCAGAGGCTGGCTGAGGTAGGAGGTGCGAACTCTGGCCAAGGATTATACTAATGCTCACATTCACATATATGTAGAAGCCCTGCAGCCTGGACTTCATCACTGTGCAGCTCTCACCGACTAAATAACCTCAGCAGAGCTCAGCAGGTCCTCAGGTGTCCCCTCCCTCCTGACCACAGTGCAACCTGCAGTTATACAAGACCCCAACTCTGCTCTCCGCCTGCTCCCCTGGTAAGAGGGACAGTTGTGGTGGTGGCTGTAATGACTTCAGATGGCTCCCATAACCCTTCAGTTCAGATCCATACCTGGAAATCTGAAGGGGACATGTTGACTCCTGAAAATAAGCCTGGAGTCAACATGATGCTGAAAAATTGTGGCGGCGGGATTTATGAATCAGCTGAAACATACAAAAAATGAAATCCCTTGTTATCACTGAAGGAAACCCCAGGAGCATGAAAAGCCCTTATCTTTAACTTTATTTACAATTTACCTATATTTTGAGCAGTAGTTGGTCCAAAGTTCCTTTGCCAATCTGCTATTTGTTAAAGGACAGGAATAAAGGAAGTGTATGATGTGATAAAACCATAAGGCAGCAACCTTAGCAGGCCCTTGGGGATTTACACAAATTGCTCTAATAAATGAATCCATTAACTAAGTGAAATCAGGCATTAAGTGTAATGGAAATTTATAAGCTCTGCTTCTCGTTACTATTTCCTTTTTATTGGCTGTCAGGGGAGGGGATTATCTGTGTGTGTGTGTGTGTGTGTGTGTGTGTGTGTGTGTGTGTGTGTGTGTGTGTGTTGGGAGACAGAAGAGATCAATCCCAATGAATTCCATGTCGTCATTGTACACTAAGCCCAGCCATTAGAGATTAGGGTGAGATTTTAGGAAAGCCAGATGATTTTCTTGATTTATCAGTGACACCAAAGTGAGAAGAACACCAAGCCTATTGGAACATTCGTGTTAAGTCTGACATACATTGTTGGCTGTGGCCTCTGGAAGAGACTTGAACTCTGACACATGAAGAAGATGTGAAGTATACTCTTTTGCCCAGGAAGACAACGGTCACTTTCAATGTGGAATAGTAAGCAACCACTGCCTAGCCCAGCTCTGGGAACCTGGGAAATTCATCCACCATCAAGATGTTTCCTTTAACAAGCTCCACCTTGCCTGCTACACAGAGTTGTCTGAAGGGTTAAATGGGCACAATATTTACAACAGCATTTGGAAAGTATAAAACTGTGACCTGACCTATAGGAGATGAGTAACTGGTTATGTTGAACTAGTTAAAGCCTCATGTGGTCTAGGTCAGCTGTGATTAAACACTTAATTTTAAATAATTTTTTGATCGGTTTGGAAATAGAGTTTTTCATTTCCTCCCATATTTGGCAGAAATGAACTAAGCTTCTTCTCCCTTCCTCTATTACTTAAGCCAGAAACATAGCAGAAAAGATGAAGGAGGCAAAGGTAAGCTATGGTTATGTAAAAGAATCCTGGGCAATGTCTGAGACTCAGTTCTCACCTTATCAAGAGTTATTGAAGTGGCATTTGTGAAGTCCACTATTTCTGGGAGACACTTGTGCTCAACTTGGCACTGGTGACTAAACTAGAAGGAAAGACCCATAGTTCTAAGAAACAAGGGAAGGCAAATACTGACATTTCTTTTTCGGTTTTGTTTTTAACCCCTGTCACTGCTTAAGCAATGCAGAATACTCATGAAAGAGGACATTTTGCAAAGTGTATAAAGCCACTGAAGTTAGATGTGTAGGCATCAGTTAAGAGATAATTGGATGTGTCCTCAAACTCAGCATGTACAAAAAAGGACTCAGCTTTTGTTCCAAATAAGCTTTAATTAACTTCATATTTTTTTAAGTCAAATATGCATGTTAAATGTTAAAGTTAACTACTAAATGTGAAGAGATAGAATGTATTCATTCCAAACAACAACTGGTAGGGGTAAGGGGAATGAGGTTGAATAAATAAAACTTTACTTATCCAAAAGAATCCAGAAAAAGAGCAAAAAAATAGAAAATCAAAAAAATTGCTCAAAATTAGGTGGCAGATATAAATCCAGATATATTTATGATCACAATAAATATAAATGGACTAAATTTACTAGCTATTGGGTTTTTAAAAAATTCATCTACTGTCTGATT